TCTACTAGCTTTATTTGATTCAAGTTCCCCATGCCATGCTAGATAGGATAAGAACCTTGGAAAAATAATTATTTGCATGTATCATAGTCAAACATAGATCCAAGGTTTCTAGGGTTGCATGTACACCATAGGAGTGTTAGAATGCTCTGAAAACTCATCAGATTACACTATCATCTGCTTTTGAAAAAGAAAACTCCTCAGATGATGAAGGTAAGTATCTCATGGTCCAGATCCTGGAATCTCACGCTAACAATTTAATTGACAGTGATGGGACACTTGACGGTGATCCTTCTCAAGCTGTTGCGGACCTTAAGACAGAATAGGACACTACATCAGCGTATTAGGTAAAAAATATTGTTAACTACTCCTCTTTTGAAAACATCAAAAAAGATGACATGATTGATCACTTACGTTTCGATTTATTGGTATCAAATAAAGAAAGATATTCTCTCAGTTTTGAGTTAAAAAACCTAAAAGAAAAACTCTCTTTTTTCGAAAAATATCTTTTTGTATTGAAAAAGGAAAACACATGTATCTCGCTGACCACTAATTTTCTTCACACTGAAAAAGAAAAAGTTGTTGATCATGCTAGATATATTCAACTTATTTTGAAAAACTAGGCCTCTTCTCACTTTAATGTCACAAGAATTATTAATGTTCAGATTCCAGATCAGTGTGAGAAAATTCTTAGAGGTGGTATAGAAGGTGTTGTTTCCTTAACCAAAGTTGTTAAGACTAAACAAACCTTATATAAAGCTGACTATTTAAAAGAAGATTTTAAGAAAAGATATGTGAGTTCTTATTTTATAAATCAAACGTTAACTGATACTCACTGCTCCAGTAATTCTAACGGTATCACCGAATGTGTTTCTCAGTTGTCTACTCTTGATCCTTCTCATCAACCTTCTCACTGTGAGTATGCTCTTCCCTCCCCTAAGATTTTGCTAAAATTTCCTATATGTAATGGTGAAGTTAATTCGGTAAAAAAAAATTCTTAGCATTTTTCCTCAGTGCTTCGTTAATTATGAACCTAAAGATCAATCAAATTTTTATACTTCTGATGACTCTTCAATGATTCATGAGACTCGTGATAAAGGATCATCTGGGCATACCATCGATGGCATTTCTTGTTCTGAAACTAAAACAAGAACTCTTAAATCAAATTGTCAAAGTTCTTTTGGACTCAACAGTTGGAAAGAAATCAAAATCTATTGTTAAAGGAAAGAATCATGGAATCAAAGTTTTTTTTATCAATGTGGCGATGCTTCTCACAAAGTCAGCAAAAGCAGTTTTGAAAAGAACTCTGTTCGCGCTGACAATATCATGACATGTAATGATAAGTGTATCAAAAAGGGAAACTCATTGAACTGTCTCCCTGATGATTGTTATAATAACTTTTCTTGAGTGGCCCATTGCAAAATGAGTCAGTGTATATTGTGTGTATAATATTTATGTTTTTTTTTGTTTTGTTTCAGGGCTTATTGTATATTTTAGTTTCAAGATAAAGAACATATTTGGTATTTCGATAGCGGTTGCTCAAGACATATGACATGATTCAAGTCTATTCTAGAAGATTTCATAAAGAAGAATGGTCCGACTGTTACATATGGATATAATGGCAAGGGAGCTACAAAAGGATATGGATCCTTCAAGTGCAGTTCTATTGTTTTCAAGAATGTCTCTTATATGAAAGGTCTTCAGCATAATCTCATTTCAATCAGCCAAAGGGTGTGAAGCTAGCTATGAAGTCCTCTTCAACAAGAGAGAAGGAAAGGTTGTTGATCAAAAGAATGTCACTGTTCTGATAGCAAACCGACAAAATGACATTTATGTTTTGGATATGTTTTCTGCTAACAACTCTCTTTGTCGTTGCTTTTTCTCTCGTGATCAGTCTCATCTAAATTGGTTGTGACACAAGAGGCTATCACACTTGAGTTTCAAGAACATATCGAAGATCTTAGGGAATCAACTTGTATGAGGAATTCCTAAAATGCACTTTGTTAAGGATAAGTTATGCTCATCATGTGAAAAGGGAAAGAAAACCAAGTCTTCCTTCAAACCAAAGTGTTGCTCTTCCATTATCAAACTTCTTCATCTTCTTCACATGGATCTTTCTAGACTAGTTCCTGTTAAGTCAAGAGCTGGGAAGAAATCTCGTCATTGTAGATGAATTTTCAAGGTTTACATGGGTAGTCTTTTTAAGAAAGAAGATTCATGCTACTGATGAAATCATTTCTCTCATCAAGCAATGGGAAGTTCTTTATGATCACAAAGTCAGACAGTTACGTAATGATCATGGAACCGAATTTAGGAACTCCTCCCTAGAAGACTTTTTCTCAATCTCAGGAATTTCTCATAACTTCTCTGTTGTTAGAACTCCCCAACAAAATGGTATTGCAGAGAGAAGAAACAAAACTCTCATCGAAGCTGGAAAACCATGGTCGTAGAAGTTGGTCTTCCTTCGTCATTTTAGGCTGAAGTTGTCAATACAACATGTTATACCCAAAAATGTTCCATCATTGTTAAGCTTCATAGGAAAATTACTTATGAGCTACTGAAGGGAAGGAAACCGAGAATCTCTTATTTTCATGTGTTAGGGTATGTTTGCTACATCTTGAATCAAAGAGATCAACGCTTGAAGTTTAAAGCTAAAGCTGATGAAGGATAGTTCGTAGGTGATTCAAGTGTATGTAAGGCTTTCAGGGTATTCAATCTTTCTAGACAATCTATTGAAGAAACAACTCATGTCACCTTCGATGAAGACTCATTCGTTCATGATCGAGTTGATCATCCCTCATCAGTTCTGAATGAACTTAACTACAATCCTTTAGACCTTGTTCCTGATTTTTTGCCAAATGACACTGAGCTTATTGTTCCCAATGTTGATCGAATCATTAGCTTACAACCTATCTCTTAAGATCAGCTTGTCATCCTTGAAGTAGTTGAACGATCCAATCAGGAAGAGTTTGCTCAATGCAATAAGCATGAAAGTTCTAATTGAAGAATTCTTCGAGATCATCCTAAATCTCAAATCATTGGAGATGTAAATTCTAAGATTCTCACTCATAGCAGAGTCAGTAGCAACTTCTGCATGTTTGTAAACTTTGTCTCAATGATTAAACCAAAGAATGTCGTTGATGCCTTGAATGAAGCTGATTGGATCAAGGCTATGTAGGATGAGTTAAATGAATTTGAATGCCATCGTGTGTGGACTCTTGTTCCTAAGCCTCAAGGAAATACGATCGTTGGTATTCATTGGGTATTCACGAACAAAATGGATGAAGATGGGATCGTAATAAGAAATAAGGCTAGAATTATGGCTCAAGGTCTCTATCATCTGAAAGGGTGAGACTATGATGAAACATTTTCTCCTGTTGCTAGACTTGAAGCAATTTACATGTTTCTTGCCTTTGCTTCTTTCAAGAACTTCATAGTCTATCAAATGGACGTCAAGACTGACTTACTACATGGAGATCTTCAAGAAGAAGTTTTTCTAAAACAATTGCCAGGGTTCGAAAGTAAAGAGTTACCAAATCATGTGTATCGTCTTGATAAAGTTGTTTATGGTTTAAAGAATGAACCTAGAACATGGTATGACACATTGGCGAGCTACCTTTAAGCCAGTGGATACATATACGGAAAGATTTACAACACCTTGTTCATCAATCATTCAGGATCTCACATAATTCTTACTCAAGTATATGTTGATGATATCATTTTTGGATCCACTGATGAAAAACTAAGTTCAGAATTCACGGAGATCATGAAGTTCAAGATGAGCGTCTATTGGCGCTGATCTAAATGGCACTGATGTGAATACAACTCTATATCAAGGAATAATAGTCTTGTTACTCTATCTTACTGCCAGTCGCCCTGACATTATGTTTGCTACTATACTATGTGTTCGTTATCAAGACAGTCCCAAGGAATCTCATCTTCTTGCTGAAAAAAGGATTTTTCGATATTTAAGGCATGCACTCAATCTTGGGTTATGCACTACTAGAAAAACAGCATTTTACAACGCGTAATGCGTGTCATAAAATGCTCAGACGACGTGCAAATGCGTGTCAAGGAAGGCCCTGTCATAACGAGAGACGACACGCTTTTGCCCGTCGTCTATTTACGATGCGCATTTACGACGCGCATTTACGACACACATTTACGACGCTCATTTACGACACACAATGCGTATCAAGGAAGGCCCTGTCATAAAGGAAGACGACACACATTTGCGTGTCGTAACCTTACGACACGCCTTTAGGACATGCATTACGTATCATTAAAGCCCCTGCCACAAATGAAGATGACACACATTTTGGGTGTCATAAACTTCAGCAACCATTTACGATATGGATATACGACGTGCCTTTACGATACTCTTTTTAGCATAATACAAAAATATAGAAACACATATATACCAAAACAATCAATTTCATCCAATAACCTCATGTCAAAAAAATGTAATACATTGATATTAAAAGGACCTGATTGTACATTGTTATTAAGAGGTTTTCCCTAACTATATAACCTAATACGAAACAAGTGTCTTCGTAGAATCTTTACCAACTTATCACAAATTATTGTATTCTGAATCAAATAAGTTTCAGCTTGCATCTTACCATTGGCAACTTCTCCATCTATGAAGTAACTATTTCCTTCTTTTTAAGACAACCCCATGTGCACAACCCAATTGTAGCACCTCAGATGCACGAGATATGCCTCTTCCAAACTTAATCTCCAGCTCTGCCTTTTTCATAGCAGGTGCTAGCTTATTCTTTACCACCTCCACACATATACCAAGACCAGTAACATGAAAATAGATAAATTTCCTTTTATTATTATCATTATCATTATAATAAAACAATTATTATTATTTTAAACCTTTTCCTGAGTCTTGAGCAATCCTTTTCTAGCAATTCTCATCCGTACAGCTGAATAAAATGGCAAGGCGTTTCCACCACATGTCACCTCTTAAGTCCCTCTTGGCGTGATCTCAATTTTTATCTCACCTGAAAACAAGAGTAACAATTGGCTAAGACATTATGACATATTTAAAACTATTTAAACTGATTTTATAACTATATATAATATACTAACCTGATTTATAAATATAATAAGAGTCTCTGAACGACATAAAGAATAAAGAATCTTGCGAAGTGCTCGTGTCATTATTCGTGATTGTGTCTCAATGATATTGTCACTTATTACACCTGTAATTTCACGTTGTGGGATGAGTGCATCAACCTATAAAAATAAAGTCAATGAATTAGAAAACCAAGACACCAATTGGAAAAAAGATTTGTAGGGGTGAGTTTGATGAAGAAGGGAGGAGGGCATTCATGTCTTTTGCAAATATTTTTCCTTACACTGTCGATGACAATCACATCAACTACTCCACTCTGTGTGAGAGTGTCAACAGTACTCAGCAAATTTTCAGCAGAATTTGGCTGTGAGATGAGAAGACTTTTGGTATTTACACCAACTGTTTCAAGCAGCAGTGGGTCTAGTGCATTCTCCACATCCAAGTAAGCATAATAACCTACCAAAAATAACTTCTAATCATCATAAAATGTGAAACACCAACATTTTTTATATATGGAATTAAAGAATATTGGAACGCACCTCCAAGCTATTGAGCTTCCTTGATTACATTCAAAGCAAGTGTTGTCTTGCCTGATCAATCTTGTCCAGAAACCTCAACAATTCTTCCCTGTAATGTACAGTTTGGTTGTTATTATTCTAGGGTTCACAATGATTAACTATTATGTATGTGTGTAATTTGCTAATACCATATAAGAAGCTACTAATTACCTTTGGTAATCCTCCAATTCCAAGAGCAAGATCAAGCTTCAAGGAGCCTATGGATACTACAGGTTTCACTCTTGTGCGAAAAAATCGCTGCAAGAACAACATAGATTCCCCATCAAAATCACCTGCAAGTTCTGATAGGGCTGAATGAAGAGCTGTATGCTTTTCTGCAGCTTTAATATCATCATGAAGTTTATCATCTTCTAGGTCTGAAGCTTCAACTGCAAGAATATAATAGTAAATGACAAGAAAATTTAGACCAAGATGAGAATATAACTGACATGGACATACTTATACACCCTCAGATAAGTTGATCACAACTTCATAATGACCCTCCATGGGATTTGGCAGGAATTGGAATCCAATTCCGCATGGCAACTACAGATTATTACAGAGTTAATCTAATAAACTTGAGATGTAAGTTAATGTGACTGTATCATCCCTACCAACTATGCACGATTCAATGTCTATCCTACCAACTATGCACGATTTAATGTCTATCCCTACCAACTATGCATGATTAATCAATGTCCTTTGGATGTAATAAGAAAAGAAAGAAAATGAACTAAACTTTGCTTGACCACCAACTTCCTGTGTATAGACTCCATTCCATTTATCTGGCAGTCTGCCTAATCTTGCTCATCCGCTTCAGTGTTGCTAACCAGAAGCTATACTCATCCCAGTCACTAGTCGTAAGATCCACCTATTTAAAAAAATTATTTTTTAACCCCTCAAGTCCTATGATGTTGATTGGAATGGAATCAGAAAAGATTACCTGAATCTTGAGGGCAGTAGCAAAGTCACCACTGGCCTTTGTTGGAACCGCGTTCGCCCCTCCTAATGCTTCCGATGTCTCATTGAAAAGTCTGGTCAAAGTCCCAATAACTGCCCTTTGTTGGACTATCAACACATAACAACACTCAACACTCAACATTCATTCATAAAACATAACCATATATAATTATTATTAATTAATATACTTGGGACATTGGACACCTCAGCAGTCTGGACAGTTGGAGGGGCAACAGGAGGTAGAGCAGGGTGTGAGGGAATTGGTGGTTGCATTTGATTTGAGGAACTTCTTTGTAATCATGTGTTGTTGTTTACAAGAATGAACCCCCTAAATGGTGGTGCTACACCCTGTGTGATTTTCGGCCCGCTGGTGGTCCCGCTTGGTAACCAGGGTTAGCATTCACCTGATTCTGATATTTATTGTGCATCATACTTATAATTATATAAATATACTAAACATTAAATAATTAATTAATTTAAGAAAAACATACATACAGGATATTGCTGAGAGCCCAAGGTCCTTGACTTGCTAAAATCTCAGCATACTTTTCAACAAGTTTACATAAAGAAGCACTGAATCTCTTATGTCCAATTGTTAAAGCAAGAACCACAGTCTTCTCCATCAAATCCTAACACAAACAAAAAAGAAAACACAAATTAACACTTACTATTCAAATTTTAACTTAAATCTTTTCAGAAACAAGTGTTTACCTGAAGAAGTGAAACATAGAATTCTCCTTTGTGCTCAGTGGTAACATTCTTTGACCAAATTTCAACTATTTTATCAATGTTCCCAACACATATATAACAAAGGGTTGCAGCTAACGTGTTTCCAGAATATACAAGTCTAGAAGCATGGGTATCACAAAGTAAAGTCCACTCCTCCCTTTGAGCAAACTGTGTATATAGTAAATTAGTAATAATACCATCTTCGTGAGACCAAAACAAAAAAAGAAGGTCAAAAGTAAAAAATTGTAAGTTTTTACCACCTCAGGGAAACAACTTACAGTGCATAGGAGAGCAAGTGTTTCCTTCCAGGATTTCAAGGGCCTGGTGTTTACTAGACTAACAAGATCATTATTTACCATTGCAGCAACAACCTATGTTTAAGAAACCCATCAATAAAGATACAAAAAGTTAAATGGAAATGAGAAAGTAACAGAAAGTGAAAATCACCTTAAGGGAAGGAGAACGATTCTTTTTAAGGTACTGATCACGTGTGCTCTCCCACAGGGAAGCACCACCAACCTGAGCAATAACTAAAGCATCTGCCATTCTAATCAAATATGAAAAAATATACTTACACAGTCTGGCATTTCATCGAGCACATTGAGGGCACCTTGCATCTCCATAACTTCAAATCCCATAAAAACCCTTAATTTTGAAACCCATATGTAAGAAGAAATGGATAGACCTTCAATATTGGTGATACAAACAAGAAGTATGACAGACCATCGATTTCAGCATATGATGAGTCAGAACAAAGGATAAAGGTCAATGATGACTCAAGACAAAGGACAAAAAAGGAAAAGTTGAAGCAACTGATGATCAATTTTAGCAGAAATCAGCAAACAATAGCCCGATTTCAAACATGAATCGGCGATTTCAATGTATTTGGGGAGCAAAAAAGGAAAAACAGAAGAACGATTCATACCTGAAGCGACAGTGGAGTCGGAGGTGTGGGTGCATGGCGCCAGAGATGCAAATTTGGAGAGCCGATGTGGAGAAGTGAAGCGTCCGAGGTTTGAGAATCGAGAGAGAAGAAAAGGATCGAGAAAGAAAGGGTTTTCGGCCGGTGGAAACAAGGCGGGGTTTTCAACTTTTGGGGATTTAATTCCCCGCTGTTAATAAAAGGATAAAACATGCGCGTTTCATTTAAATTTATAAAGCGACATGCTCAGATGACACACATTTTATTATAGGTGCCCTCCGTGTTTTTTTTATTTATTTACTAGACACTAAATTTAGGGCACGCAAAAATGCATGACATAAATCCTTGAAATTTTGGGAGAGATGATAAGTGTATCAAAAAGGAAAACTCATTGAACTGTCTCCCTGATGATTGTTATAATAACTTTTCTTGAGTGACCCATTGCAAAATGAGTCAGTGTATATTGTGTGTATAATATTTATGTTTTTTTTTTGTTTTGTTTCAGGGCTTATTGTATATTTTAGTTTCAAGATAAAAAACATATTTGGTATTTCGATAGCGGTTGCTCAAGACATATGACAGGATTCAAGTCTATTCTAGATGATTTCATAAAGAAGAATGGTCCGGCTATTATATATGGATATAATGGCAAGGGAGCTACAAAGGGATATGGATCCGTCAAGTGCAATTCTATTGTTTTCAAGAATGTCTCTTATATGAAAGGTCTTCAACATAATCTCATTTCAATCAGCCAAACGTGTGAAGCTAGCTATGAAGTCGTCTTCAACAAGAGAGAAGGAAAGGTTGTTGATCAAAAGAATGTCACTGTTCTGATAGCAAACCGACAAAATGACATTTATGTTTTGGATATGTTTTCTGCTAACAACTCTCTTTGTCGTTGCTTTTTCTCTCGTGATCAGTCTCATCTAAATTGGTTGTGACACAAGAGGCTATCACACTTGAGTTTCAAGAACATATCGAAGATCTTAGGGAATCAACTTGTATGAGGAATTCCTAAAATGCACTTTGTCAAGGATAAGTTATGCTCATCATGTGAAAAGGGAAAGAAAACCAAGTCTTCCTTCAAACCAAAGTGTTGCTCTTCCATTATCAAACTTCTTCATCTTCTTCACATGGATCTTTCTAGACTAGTTCCTGTTAAGTCAAGAGCTGGGAAGAAATCTCGTCATTGTAGATGAATTTTCAAGGTTTACATGGGTAGTCTTTTTAAGAAAGAAGATTCATGCTACTGATGAAATCATTTCTCTCATCAAGCAATGGGAAGTTCTTTATGATCACAAAGTCAGACAGTTACGTAATGATCATGGAACCGAATTTAGGAACTCCTCCCTAGAAGACTTTTTCTCAATCTCAGGAATTTCTCATAACTTCTCTGTTGTTAGAGCTCCCCAACAAAATGGTATTGCAGAGAGAAGAAACAAAACTCTCATCGAAGCTGGAAGAACCATGGTCGTGGAAGTTGGTCTTCCTTCGTCATTTTAGGCTGAAGTTGTCAATACAACATGTTATACCCAAAAATGTTCCATCATTGTTAAGCGTCATAGGAAAATTACTTATGAGCTACTGAAGGGAAGGAAACCGGGAATCTCTTATTTTCATGTGTTAGGGTATGTTTGCTACATCTTGAATCAAAGAGATCAACTCTTGAAGTTTAAAGCTAAAGCTGATGAAGGATAGTTCGTAGGTGATTCAAGTGTATGTAAGGCTTTCAGGGTATTCAATCTTTCTAGACAATCTATTGAAGAAACAACTCATGTCACCTTCGATGAAGACTCATTCGTTCATGATCGAGTTGATCATCCCTCATCAGTTCTGAATGAACTTAACTACAATCCTTTAGACCTTGTTCCTGATTTTTTGCCAAATGACACTGAGCTTATTGTTCCCAATGTTGATCGAATCATTAGCTTACAACCTATCTCTTAAGATCAGCTTGTCATCCTTGAAGTAGTTGAACGATCCAATCAGGAAGAGTTTGCTCAATGCAATAAGAATGAAAGTTCTAATTGAAGAATTCTTCGAGATCATCCTAAATCTCAAATCATTGGAGATGTAAATTCTAAGATTCTCACTCATAGCAGAGTCAGTAGCAACTTCTGCATGTTTGTAAACTTTGTCTCAATGATTAAACCAAAGAATGTCGTTGATGCCTTGAATGAAGCTGATTGGATCAAGGCTATGTAGGATGAGTTAAATGAATTTGAATGCCATCGTGTGTGGACTCTTGTTCCTAAGCCTCAAGGAAATACGATCGTTGGTATTCATTGGGTATTCAGGAACAAAATGGATGAAGATGGTATCGTAATAAGAAATAAGGCTAGAATTATGGCTCAAGGTCTCTATCATCTGAAAGGGTGAGACTATGATGAAACATTTTCTCCTGTTGCTAGACTTGAAGCAATTCACATGTTTCTTGCCTTTTCTTCTTTCAAGAACTTCATAGTCTATCAAATGGACGTCAAGACTGACTTACTACATGGAGATCTTCAAGAAGAAGTTTTTCTAAAACAACTGCCGGGGTTTGAAAGTGAAGAGTTACCAAATCATGTGTATCGTCTTGATAAAGCTGTTTATGGTTTAAAGAAGGAACCTTGAACATGGTATGACACATTGGCGAGCTACCTTTAAGCTAGTGGATACATATACGGAAAGATTTACAACACCTTGCTCATCAATCATTCAGGATCTCACATAATTCTTACTCAAGTGTATGTTGATGATATCATTTTTGGATCCACTGATGAAAAGTTAAGTTCAGAATTCACAGAGATCATGGCTAAGAAGTTCAAGATGAGCGTCTATTGGCACTGATCTAAATGGCACTGATGTGAATGCAACTATATATCAAGGAATGATAGGCTTGTTACTCTATCTTACTGCCAGTTGCCCTGACATTATGTTTGCTACTATACTATGTGTTCGTTATCAAGACAGTCCCAAGGAATCTCATCTTCTTGCTGTAAAAAGGATTTTTCGATATTTAAAGCATACACTCAATCTTGGGTTATGGTATCCTCGTGATTCCGAGTTCAAGCTGGTGGGATACAATGACTCTGATCATGGTGGTTGTGGCAAAGATCGTAAAAGTACTTCTGGAGGAGCTCAAATGCTAGGAAATAGACTGGTAAGCTGGTCCGGCAAAAAGCAGATAACAGTGGCTTGTTCTACCACTGAAGCTAAATATGTAGCCGCTAGAAGGTGTTGTGCTCAGATCCTATGGGTTCAAAATCAACTCTTAGAGTATGGTCTAAACTTCTCAAAGACTCCCATCTGCTGTGACAACACCAGTGCCATTCAGATGATACAAAATCCAATGCAACATTTCAAGACCAAGCACATTGACATATGTCATCATTTCATTAGGGAGATTGTTCAGAAGGGTAAAGTGGATTTGTTCTAGATTCCATCTACTGTCAGTTGGCTGACATTTTCACAAAGGCATTAGACAAGAAGACTTTAAACAAATTGATTGCAGATATTTGCATGTTTTCAATGACTTAATTATTTTTTTTTAACTTTTCTTATGCTTGCTTTCTCAAAAACACAAAAACAAATGATTCTTTTATTATGTATATAGATTTTTACATAGTTTGCTTAAGCT